GGTGGGCGGGGGGTCGGGAGTGGACAGCCAATCAGGCGAGCGGTGCCACCTCAGGGAATGACGTTCGGGCCAATGGGAAGGGCACTCTATTCCGTCAACGCTGTGGGTTTGGACTCTGAGAAAAGAGGGCTGGGTGGGAGTCGGGCCAGATTGATGTGTGCCCAAGGGAGGGGAAAAGAGAGGGAAAAGTTCCTGCGAAGAACTGCGGGAATGTGCGGCTGGAATTAACTATCTTCCTGCCTAGACTGCTGAGGGAGCGCTGGTCCTTCTTGCGGATACCTTGCCACAGCTAATAGCGTAGCGCCCGGGTACCCTTCGATACCCATCTCTCTAATCCCTAGGATTCCCGTGCCTTAAGAAGGACGCTGTTCAAGAAAGCACGTTCGTTCAGTTCTGTATTTTTCCCCCTCCGTTTCATTTTTCGCCTTTTTACAATTGTAGAAACCGTAATGATGGAATGGAATGTGTAGCCTCCTCCCCCCGTATTTCTATGTTAAAGCTTAGTAAAAAAATAAAAAGAATGCTGAATAAAAGGACTATGATAAGGAACATATAAAAATTTTTTTTTAAACATGGCAGGATTTTTTTGCCTATGAAGATGCAAAAATGAGTTCAAGAAATAAAATCGCCTTGCACATTAAATTAAAGCGCGTAAATATTAAAAATGCATGGACTCAGTCTTTAAAATTCCACATGACATATAATATTAATTCGTTTTATGTAAAATTCATACCTGCGACTTAATTTAGGCCATTGATGCGCCGATTCACGTATTAGTTCACCGGAGTGGCTTTATATACAATATTGAGAATGTTCCGTTGCTTTTTGCAGCAAAGCATTAAAATTCCCATTCTAATACCTGGAGTCCAGCTTGGTCCCAATCCTATAGAAATTTCTGTTGATTAAAGAATTTTTCCACGTTAGGTTTCAAAACAAAATTGCAGGAAAAGTTGTCATTCATGGACATTCATGGATTCAAATCAGAACTTCACAATGAACCTTGTGTGTACCCTTCGAGAAAAAAAAAAAAAAAAGAATAAAAAGCCCTTAAGCACGAAAACTCAACAGTCATAGGGATATAAATTGTGAATGCCTCCACCCTCTAAACCTCCCACCTTTAGACACACTAGGAGATGAATTAAACTGAGCCTTTTCTTCATTTGTGAACATGACATGGATTAGTACCTTCCTTTTCAGAGTTAGGAGAAAGACGCAGACATGGGCTTCATCTCTTCCTGCCTACTTCCTATAGGGAAACCTTCCTTCCCACCCCAGAATCAGAAATACCTGCAGCAGGCAGGTATTTTGTTTAGCCACATGAGTACTTTATGACTATTGCATTATTTCCCCAGAGCACATTCCTTTTTCCTGATGAAATGAGGAGCAACTATTATAATGTTGGTTTCATGGGTAAATGTAACAACCTTCTCCACTAGTCCTTATGTTGTGAAATGCCATCCAGTTGATACCCACTCATAGGATCTTAACAGAATGCAATGTTGCCTGATCCTGTGCCATCCTCCTATTTGTTCCTATGGTAGAGCTTCTTGTTGCACACTCCTTTTTAAGAATTGTTTGGAAACAAATGGCATTCTCACTGACTTAAGTATACGCATAGATGAGCTGCATATACACTTACGAGAAAACAGATTTATAAAACCCCAAAGTGTTTTCTTCTAGATGCAAGCATAGTTTTATGTATTATACATAAAAAGAGATTATTGCAATTTTGGATAGAAAGCTGGAGGGTGCTAGTGGGTAAAGACTATCGTCTAATAGCCAATCATATCAGCTCCGGTGATTATAATAAATTGATACATGTATGTATTGGCTGTTTCTTCTATACTTAACATGTATCCATTGGTTTTTCTGTTTTCCAGAGTTTTAAAAATTGCAAAATGAAAAATTTAGGATTTATCTCTGGCAACATTGAACAGTGCACAGCTACATTTCAAACATTTACCTTGCCTAACTTGGCTAGAATATAATTTATCATTCTAAATTGTGACACATAAGGACCTCTGGTAGCATAGTGGTTACGAATCGGGCTGCGAACCGCAAAGTCAACAGTTTGAAACTACCAGCTGCTCCAGGGAGAAAGATGAGGCTTTCTGCTCCCGTAAAGATTTACAGCCTTGGAAACCCTGTACAGGGTCGCTATGAGTCAGAACCGACTCCACGGCACATAACTACAAATTTTGACACAAAGGAATGTTCATTTCCATCTTTTGAATTTTGTTAAATCTCAAAGAGCGATGCCCTGTGTGTGACAAGTGTTATTCCAATGCCACAGATTGTGTTAGAGGGGCTCTCAGTGAGTGGCTTAAAGTTAGAAAGGCTGAGTTAATATTGGTATGGAAAGGGGAGGGAGTATCAAAGGAATGCACCCTGTATGTGCTCGAGAATACTCAGCCAAAATATGATCCTTAACTCGTACAACATTATACAATAGGAAGCAATAAGGAATACGATCCTATACTTTTTGACTCATGAATCCAGAGGAACACAATGCTTTTATATTATTAGGCATTGATATGACGTCAAAGCTGAAGTCACTAAAGACTTCCAGCACCAATAGTTCAAAACAGAATGAACTCACAGCAATTACAACCTTTTGAATAGACCTTTTAAGCTACATTATATCTACTGTGCAAAGAAAGAAATTGAGTTTGCTTGTGACTCTTCCTTCTAAACCAAAGTGCTTCACTCACACGTAGGAAAATCAACTGGGCTAGCCAAGTCCTTGCCCATGAAAGCACTCCAGACTCCCAAGATTTACCTCAACGGGAGCCTGCAATGATCCCAAGATTTACCTCAACGGGAGCCTGCAATGAAATAGTCATCAAATTGCTGGAAGTCCTGTTGATCAGAGTCCTGTGTACCTCCCTCCTCCAGACAAAGAGATCTGCAGCCTTCTCTCCCATGCATTCTTGATGTTAATCAGACACTTGCTGAAGGGCAACACCCAGGCTCTTAGAAATCACAATCACTCAGTGTTTACATGAAGCAAGGGTATCAGAGCATCTTATGCTATTTAGCCCCAATGCCTTTTTAGGACTTGATAGTTCTTTCTCCACTGCCTGCAGTGAAACAGTGGGTGGGCTCAGACACACAGATAAACATGAACATTCACATGCCATGGTCACTCTATAGCTGTAAGTGGTCACTGAAGGAGAAACCTGTATTCTTACATGACATAAAAAACCACAATGTCCTCAGTAGCAGGAATGTCCCTTGCTCCAGAAGAGTAAATTAGGCCATGTGGCAATTCAAGCTCAAGGCTACCTTATCAGGCACCAAGTGTTACAAACTTACTTGTGCTACCCTTGGGTTGCTGATACCAGTCCCGGAAACACTGATAACCTCCTGGTTTGCCCAGTCTTGGAAAGGTTTATAGGAAGAGGATGTTCTATGTTGAACATGCCCCCGTTGCAGGACTTTTAAAAAGTTTAAATAAAAAGTGAGTGGCTTTTTAACACCCCTCTTCAGAGAGATTTTTTTCAGTGTGGAAATAAAAGAGAAAGTAAGATGTCTTTTGCTTTTAATTGGAAGATGGAAAGAACATGTACTCTGGAGCCAGACAGCTTGAGCTCCAGTTTGGGCCCCTTGAATTACTAATTTCATATCATTAAGCTAAAATTGTAACTCCCTGTACCTTGCAAATACAAAATGGGGATACATTTTTCATCTGTAAGGTTTTATTTATAAAGTTGTTGTGGCTTGGCATATATGCATGTATTTCTCAGAATAATAAATGTTAAAAGAAATGTTTTAAAGCCACAATATAACCTTAAACATATTCCACCTAAATTTAGAGATCTCTGAAGAGCAGATTTGATGCATTAGACACTAAAGACCAAAGACCAGAAGAGTTTCGGGATGACATCAAGAAATCATACAGGAAGAAAGCAAAAGGTCATCAAGAAGACAAAAAAGAAGGAAAAGACCAAAACGGATGTCAGAAGAGACTCTGAAACTTGCTCTCCAGCATAGAGACGCTAAAGCAAATGGACGAAATGAGATAAAAGAGCTGAACAGCAAAATTGCAAAGGGTAGCTCAAAAAGACAAAGTCAAATATTACAAGAAAATGTGCAAAGACCTGGAGTTAGAAAACCAAAAGGGAAGAACACGCTCAGTATTTCTCAAGCTGGGGGAACTGAAGAAAAAATTCAAGCTTCAACTTGAAATAATGAAGGACTGCATGGTCAAAATACCGTGTGATACTAAAAGAAGAAGTCCAAGGTACATTAAAGAAATTGGTAAAGAACAGGTCCCAGGAAT